GGACAACAAACGAGGGGCTGTGACAAACTGTTTCGTCAGAGTTTCACCGACTCATCAGGAGGCTGAACCCTCAACAGTCTGTAGAATCCCCTCACTGATTACACTGTAAGTGATAATCCACCTTAACCAAAATCAAAGTAGACTATACAAGAATTCACAATTTTACAGCATACAACATCATATAAATTGATATAATACAATGTGATATGCATCATAGTATCTGATTATCATCATAAAAAGAAGGAAAAACAAAGCAGAAAGATTTGCGTTCTGATAAAAAAAAACACCTCACACAAAGCCAGTTCTGCTGATGTCCGGTCAAAAATAAAAAAGCAAACGAGCCTTAAAAACTGTGGAAACATTTTTAGGGGCTCGGCACAAATGTTGGGAAGGGCCCTGGCCGACTCCTTCCCCCCCCCCCCCCCCCTTCTGTTTTTCTCCCCGATTTGGCTCTGATCTGGACCTTCCTGACCGGGGGTCTGGTCGCACGTCTGGAACCGGACCGTCTGGATCATAGCCATGAAAATAACTGTTTGCAGATGTTTAACACAAGATTATATACCAAATTAGAGGGAAATGAAGAAAAATGTTTGTTCTGGTATGCCCTTGGTCCAGATCAGATCCAGACATACAAATCGCTTCTGGGCCTAGGTCCGGCCCTGGTCCAGTCAGGTTTGATGGTGTCCAGGACCCAAAGTTCAATATAACTATGCTTCTTACACTCACCATATTTGCCTCCGTTAACGGTACTTACTTCCTTTAGTGGCTGGAAACTCTTGCACATAGGGCAAATGATCATCGTGATGGTAAATGGAGCCAAGAGGAATTTCCGAATTTGCAAATGTGATATCAATATCATATGGAGATTCTTCTGTGATGGGCTTACTCACCCTTCGGTTCAACATATTATTCAGTATTGTTTCTATGTGATGGAAGCTTCTGGTGGGCCTGTGTGTGTGTGTGCGTGTGCGTGTGTGTGTGTGTGTGTGTGTGCAGGTGTTTTGTATTCACTAAATGTAACTTAAGAAAAAATGGTAGGAAAAAATGGGGGCCTTCGGCTCAGCATATTCTTCAATATATTGTCTGTGTTTTTGTGTGCATATGTGTGTTTGTATTCACTAAATCTAACTCCAGAACAGACTGTTTCATTGGACGTTCACTGACTCATCAGGAGGTTGTACGCCAACACTCTCCCCATGATGCATTTGACTGAGGATAAGGACTCAATACCTCGCCTAAAGTTAGGGATACCCTTGAGAACAGTGGTCATGTTTTCACTAACAACCACAGTGCAATCCTAGCAGACTGTCTAGTTCAAATCTTGACATGTATGTGTGTTTCGGTCATGTGTGCTATACACAGCTCCATGAAACAAACATGACTCTGTGTGTGTATGTGTGTGTGTGTGTGTGTGTGTGTGTGTGTGTGTGTGTGTGTGTGTGTGTGTGTGTGCGCACTCACATGGATGCGCACATACCCTTGGTGCCCTTTTGCAGGTATGGATTTAGTGAACTGGTGGTGGAATGCCCAGGTAGGTCAAACCGCTTCAGATTGTGGTGTTTTGGGGACAGTCCCCGATGAAGCATTGAGGTAGAATGCCTCAAGCCTAAGCTGTCCCTTTGTGCACTTGTGGGTGTGCTGCTCCATGTTCAATTGCAATCTGGGATTTGCAAGAGAGGGGGAAGAGAGAGTGGGGGAATTGCAGTGGTGATAGGTCGGTAAGCACATAGTTTACTCGTGACGCATGGATGGATGGGATGAATTGGATGGGATGGAGATGGGATGGATAGCTGGGATGGCCTGAAGCAACAGGTTAACAGAGGGCCGTAGGCACATCAGTTAAACAACGATTTTCATTTTTCAAAGGAATTGCTCTCTGCCTGTAAACTCCAACTCACAGGTGCAACAATGAACTACGACGTCTGAACAATCAATTGCCATGAATGACTCTACCGGAATAGAACACATGGAGATTAGAGTTGTATACGGGGCAACTTTCAGTCTAGATACAGCGATAAGGACCGCGTGTTCTCTTCAGGTGAAGATGGTAGCAACAGAGAGTGATAACCAAGACTTCAAACTTATGGCGTCTGGAGTGGTATGAGGTGCTTGAAACCGTAATGTAAACCAATTTATGACTGCTTATATTATGGCTATGTCCTAGGCTGGTCCCCGGGCAGCCCGGCGGCCTGGTCGTTGCCCGGGGGGGGGGGTGGCGGGCCACCTGGCCGGTTGTCACGCCCGGTTGGCCACCGGGCGCCCCCAGCGCATCAGTGTAGGTTAATTTTTTATTTTATTTTTTCGGCGCTGGGGGCCTTTTCGCCCTCATGGCAGACTATGCAGACCACGAAAAAAAAAAAAGGGGGCCGGCAGGCCCGATTTCACCGATTTGAAATCGGGCCTGATCTGGATCGTTGATCTCAAAAATCGACGGCCCAGATGGCACGATTTCAAATCGGTGAGGGCGGGAAATACCGGCCCCCGTTCCCTCCCCCATTCTCATGGTGTACCCCTACATTCTTCCCCTGAACATAACGCACCCTAAAAATGAATGTATACGAGTTATATTTCCGGCCAGATACAGCCAAAATGAGGGTGCGTTGTGTTCGGGGGAAGACGGGTCCCCCTGTTCCCTGCCCTGCAGTTGTGTCGCTCCGCCGGACTTCGGCGCGGAACTTCGACGCCGCCAGCACCTGCCAACGCCCACCACCGCGCGTGACCTCACCGACCCCGCCGTCGCCCACCAATGCCCGCCATCGCGGTTCCCCGCCATTGACAAGGTAAGGGACTTGTGGGGGGGGGGAGAGAGTGTTACATGCTGCGCCTGCAACAGGCTGCGGCCATTTTCAGGCCCGTGTCGTTTTCAGCCCGAAAGCTTGAAAACAAGGGCCTACAGGCCCTGTGTCGTTTCAGCCCGAAAGCCTGAAAACAAGGGCCTACAGGCCCTGTGTCGTTTCAGCCTAAAACAGGGCCTTTCCGGCCCTGAGTCGTTTCAGCCTGAAACGGAGGGCATTTTCAGGCCCTCATAAGATCGACCTTCCCTGAAACTCAGGCACCAGACCAGGGTTTTAGCTCAGACCATTTTTGGCCTATTTTCAAGACAACCTTTGTTTGAGCTTCAACCCCAGGGTCTGGCACGTTTTGGCATTGGCAAGAGCAGCCTCCTGGACGGGCCAGCACTATATAAGACTGGCCCGCCCTGCAGGCTGCAGGTAGTTCCTAGGTACTTCCCAGGCACTTGACGTGCAGTTCAGGAGGCAGGAGGTAGTCTTCAGGATTCGGCAGCAGCACTCTGGAGGAGCGCTGCAGGAGCAGTAGTAGCGCTAGCAGTAGTCTTCAGCGCTGGGCACTAGTAGCGTTAACAGTAGTCTTCAGCGCTGGGCGCTATTAGGAGCTCGAGTAGTACTAGGGAGAGAGAGATTGGGTGGAGGCCAGGGAGACTTACCTGCAGCGCCATAGCTCCAGCTTCGTCTTCGAGGTACCTGCAGCACAGCGCCGTCTTCACAGGTTAGTACCTGGCACATAAGAGAGAGAGAGAGTTCTTCTTCTTCCTCTTCTCAGTCCACCATCTTCCTCTCACCCTCTCGCTACCTGACTTCACTGCATCAGCA